TTGCCCTGTCTATGTCTTGCATGTCTTATTGAGCGAGTTCTCCTTTCATTCTGATCACCTGCTTTACCTCAGTACGTTATGCTTGGCATAAGCCCGCCACACTCACACAGATGCTCGGCATATTATACTGAAGAAAGGCAGTTTATGAGAACAAAAGCTGCTCATATGCTCAATAACCCATGCATGCTAAGAGTTTCATCTGGCCTCACAGCAAGGATGAGCTCAAATACCTCTCAAGACAGTTGCATTGTTGCCTGAATTTTGCCAGAGCATCTGGTGTGAGATGCTGCTGTGTCTTGTAGGTAAATTCTTTCGGGTCAGCCGCGCAAGCTGGATTTGTCTTCTTGCTCTTGCCCGCCCTTGCAGCACTGCGCGGCATCAACCCTGGACAGCTGCCCCAGTACCTCTCAGAAGGTGGGATTTTCCTTTCGCAGCCAGAAGTATGAAAGTGTAAGAGGCTTTGGAGACTTCCCTTCAAAAGTACACAGTTTAGGCATCTTATATGCGTAGCCTTGACTTTGTCATGGACTCGCTCCACATGAACCCACAGGTAAGAGGCATTGGAAGTCTCCAGAGTTCATGCTAAGCAGGCCCATGATGATGCCAAGGTTACGCTGTGTAATATGCTATACTGGAAGTGTCGCCCTCCAAAGGCAGCTGTGTGGTATAAGGCGGCATGTTTGGGCAGTTTTGTTTTCACCCTGGACGTGATCATATCCCCGGGAAGGTTGCAGGTTTCTCGTGTCTGAGGGGCATCACACCCGACTGTGCCGGGGACTGCAGCTCTGCGCCGCTGATTGCATCCGCCTATGTGGCCTGCAACCTGGGCCTCAACATCTCCCTGCTCGCCCTCTTGCGCCGAGCAGGCAAGAAAATCTGCTTTCCATGTTGCGCACCGTTTGTTGCAGCGCCTGTTGGTGCAAAGTCAAGAGCTGCAGATGCGTCCGGAGAGGTCGAAGAGTTGCAGTGGGACAAGATCGAAGGTGGCAAGAAGACATGCATGGCTTGCATTGCCTGACACCAAAGAAGCATGGCAATGCAAGCCGTGCACGCACTCTGGTCACCCTCGGTTCGCTCCTCGTGCAACTCTTTAACCGAAGAAACGGACCATAACCATGGTAGAATACGTGCTTGCTCTGCAATCAAAAAGCAGCCTTCTTGGTTGGTTCATTAGAGGTCTCTGTGAACAACAAGGTGACGTGTGCGTCTGTCCAGGCAACGTGGTGCAATCGCTCAGCATGCAGACAGTCATCCCGCTGACTATATGGGCCTTCACCTTCCCCTGGCCGCTGTTGGACCCCTCTCCGCCGCTGGGGCCCAAGTTTGTGCTGGGCACTGCCATCATGCTGTCTGGGCTGCTCACCTACAACTCCTCCCAATGGCTGCCAGTGCTCCAGCGGAAGCTTCGCAGGGGCAAAGCATCTTGAAGCCTCGAGTACCTTGAGTAAGATTAAGGTCAACTATTGGACCTAGTAGGATTTAGGCCGACACAACATATGTGTCAGGAATAATACTGACGCTATATCACTCAATGAATAGTGGCTACATTGTGGCACTCTATATTAAAGGAGAGACTTGTAAGATTGTGCAGCATGAGCTGCTCTCATTCAACGGCCCTGCTTTGGAGGGAGTCGCAAGGGGAAGGCGCCCTGAACCTATCGCCACCATCCATTAGTTGTATTTGTTTGGGTGCCCTGAAATACATACGAATAATTGGCACCGCTTCACTAGGAAGCAAGAGGCACTGATTGTGCTGTTTAGTGTTTTATTTGGTGGGAGTGAGGGAATGTTGATATTATGATGACGTTGCAAGTCCTATAACTTCATGCAGTCAAAGCTGCATGATATGTAAGGCGCCTTTAGTGGCCCCACAATCGCCATGCAGCTGGCTAAGATGCATCATGCAATGGCCTGGCCTTTCTGGGCAAAGCTGGTCAAGAATAGTTCCGAAAGTGTATGTTATTTGTTGCCTGCCTCAAGTGGTCCGAATGGAAGTTCCAGCTGTTGCTTCCATCGTCCTGATCCTCACAATCTTTCCTTCAATTAATCTGCCCAATACTATAGAAGGATATTTGGCAGCGATGCAACATCTTGTCCTCCTTGGGGCCATCGCCCTCACCCTGTTCAGCAGTGGATCAGCTCTGGAAGCTAACTCTGATATCGCACTTGACTTGCAAGCAGGCGCTTGCACGGCGTTCGAGATTGACAATTTGCCCCACAAATACAGCTATGATGTGGAACTTGTTGCGTTGACAGGAATCTGCGGTCCCCAGAACATCAGGTCCGTTCTCCGTGAAACACACGGGGCGTGTCGATGAGACCTCGTATGAGTTTGTCATATGAACCAGCTGTTCGGATTTCTCGGGAATCAAACATTTAGCAGTCCTCAGAACAACAAGGGGAGTCTATGCAAACTTAATGCCGCACGCCAGGACTTGCTGTGGGTCATTTTGTGCTGCGCAAAGCGCTGCAGTCTGAGCCCGATGGGCTGCACGAAGTGCCCAATTTGTGGAAGTCGATTTTTGATGTCATAATGGACTAGCATATCATTTATGCTCCTACAAATCAAAAGCCCCGAAGTTGCAGATGCATTTCTTTGGCTCCAGACTAGTACAAGCTCCTCACTCTCGTCTTGTGCTTGCAGTGTCTCAAAGCTGTACGTCCAGGATGCATGCATCAACAAGAGGGACAACGAGCTTGGTCTGGGAAGCATTCAGCTCCCCCTCTGCAATGAAGCCCACGACAATGGTGCTCAGATTTGCCAGTCGGTCTTCTCCAACGGTGAGCCATACCCCCAACCCATGTATGCAACCAAAGCCCTGTACCAATCTAACCCCCAGACGTTTTCTTACCAATGGTGGTTTCAAACACATCACCTAATCTTTCAAAACACAGCTTGTAATGATTATCAATTTTGAATGGCATGCGCTCTTGTAGGTCCATCTGATGCTCTCCTGACGGCCGGGAACCTGACTGCCGGGCAGAATTTCGACAGCGGCAACGTGTGTGCCAACAGCATCACAGCGTTTGTGTACATCAAGAATGACTGCATCCTGCCGGCCAGGGCAGTCATCAATGTAAGCTGCCAAGCCCACTGATCTGCAAATGTACATCAAATTTCACGAGACTTCATGCAAAACATGACAGATGTCTGCCCACACGTGTGTGGGAAAGTCGGTCCATCAGTGTACCATGAAGTGTGGCGCACTACAAAACAGCTCAAATATGTGCATTTGGGGCTTTCCATGTGCACCACGAGGCTTAGTGTGTGCCGCAAAAGCAGACAGTTTCCAGGCCATCTTTTGACGGCCCATAAGAGCCCTGCCCATCGCGGAGCAGTGGATGTCACCACCAGACGACTGGAATTACTGTTCAAACAAGGGGTGCTACTTTTGGGCAGAATCGAGCGGCGGCTGCATAGTATCACTACTTTGAAAGGCTCTGAAAACAGGGTGTTATTTGCATGGTGATCAGGGAGGGATCGCTGAGATGGCAGGTTGCATTATTGTGCAGGTGAAGACGCGCGACTATGGCGGCAAGCTGTGCGTCACAGTGGCGGGCAAGACACTGAGCGGAGTCGCAATCGCCATCATTGTGGTGGTCGTGCTCCTGGCACTCATCCTCTTCTGCGGCCTCATCTGCTGCTGCTGCTGCTGCCGCCGCTAGACTCCCCCACTGGCCAGTTGTCCACAGTACTATACCTAACATATGAGAGATCATCCAAAGAGTTGTGTTGAGAAGACGATGCAGAGGAACTGTGCACTAATGCCTGCTGTTAAGGAATTGGACTGCCACGTTTTCTGAGCGTTGAAGGTCCAAGCAGTAATAACAGGCCTCTCATTGCGTTGGAAGTCCGAGCAGTAGCAACATGCCCCTCATTGCCACCAGCTGTCCAATCAGGGTCCTCATGGTACTGCTGGGACAAGTGCCCAACAGTAAGCTGGGGATGAGCTGTTTGTTTTAATCTACAGAAGTCATGTGTCAGTGAGGGAAGCTGTTGAGGAGGGTGTCGCGGATATTCAAGTTGAGAAAATCCAATCACTGATGGGCACCGGATGTTGTTGGAGGGAGGCTTGTGCCGCCAGCCATGCCTTCTGAGGGTGCCATCAAATGTTGAGCACTGTTCCTGAGCGCGACCGGAACAGAGTGTGCATACGTCCAGATTTGTCGAGCCCCTGGGAAGTGTGTGCGCGGCCTAGACAGGCGCGCACTGAGCCCTGCTGTGTGATCTGGCTTTGTCACTGACAGGCCTGCCCCAGATCATGCAACCGCGCCACCTTCTCAGCCGGCTCTTGTATGTGTTTGTTAAGGTCGACCAGTCTGCTTGTATGGAACATCAACCATGGTATTGTAGGATTAGGAATACCACATTGCAGAAGGTGTGCTGCAGTTTTTCTGCTTCAAAATAACCTAACAGTTGATCATTTCAATGTGTTGTGTCTCTGGAGTCCATCAATGTGGGTCGTCCGATCAGTGAGGGCGACACAATGTGTGGTGTGTCTAGCTAGAAGCCAGGAGCTTATAGAAAGCTTCTCAAAGCTTAAGTTCCAGAGAGCACAAACTGAACAATTTCTGCCATTTGCATGGTGCTCCAATATGTCACAATGACTGCCAGTGCATGTTAAGTTGGAAACAAACCTTGAGGAGAAATAATAATAATGAGGCTAAATTCATTTTCGAAGACCACCAGGTTGTGGCTCCTCGAGGTTGTGAGCTGACTCTTGCCAATTGGTAAAGTTTCCTGGTTAACTAACTGTGTAAGCACAGTCATCAAGTGGCCAAGGTTCACTGGCAATGGTTCCCAGTGACCAGATCTGCACACGTGGCGTTGCGCAAGCATGCTTGAAAGTTGTGCAATTCAGCGGAATTTAAGATAGGGCTACATGTGGTTCTGGTACGCTTCAAAGGTGTCGTCAGCTTCACCTCACCGGTCCTGGATCGTTGAGACAGATGAGCACAGGCTTGTGCACCAAGAAAAAACAAAAATGGAGAAAAATTTCCGTCATGAACAGGATTTGAACCTGCGCGCGTCTCCGCAATGGATTTCAAGTCCATCCCCTTAACCACTCGGGCATCATGACATCTGATATAATCTCAATTTCTGGCTTAATATGTAGGACAAAAACAAGCCACCCCACCTCTCGCCCAAACCTTTCCGCACACGACAGGATGTCTGAGATACTGTAGTCTTGTGAATCTCAAGATATCGTCTCTAAGGTGGGCAGTAAAGGTGTCGACGGTATTTCCCTGAATTTACAATGGGCGGCACGAACCCTACGCTGCGACGAACGTACAGGATGGACTGTTGACATCAGCCGCACAGAATCTGAGATTCGCATTCAGATCAGGCCACTTCATAGTGATGCTTGCCAGTGCCCTTACAAGTTTGTCAGGCTTCACGGACCGGAACCGCTTCCCCTGGCATTTTCGTTCATGCCCCAAGGTCGTACGGACTATGGGAAAATAAGGCAATATTGCCGAAGAGGTCTCTAGAAATACCTCCAGGCTTTCATTTCCATAGATAATAATGTGCCCCTTGTACAGGGCCTGCCACTTCGTTGCTTTGATCAATCACAGTACAGGCACTGCTCGGCTCAGAGTTCCCAGCACAGTGCGCCTTAAGTGAGGTAGTCATCAAAACCCAGGTCCCGGAGCGCAGCCGAGCCAACATCGGCGCAGGTGGCCGGGTGTGCTACTTTGGCACGGCGCAGGAACGCCTCCGCACCCCTCTCCAGCACAGCCGGCCGCAGCTCCGGGCTGCGCGCCACCATGTTGCGCAGGGCCATGCATGCCTGTGTCATACCCCCCCCTACTTGTGAGGATTTGTCTGGCCATTATACGCTCAATCTATATCCTTTGTGGGCGTTTGTAAGTGTCTCCCTCAGCAGCACAACCATGCATGCCTGTGTGACACTCACCCTCCCGGAGATGTCTGGCCATCCTCCATGAACTCACAATGACACTTCTTTTGCGACACTTCTTTTGCATACATGCACACAAGGCACTGGAATTTTCATTTTCTGGGAACAACGGGGACAGACCGATTGACACTGCTTCATTTATGGTATTCCATACTTCAATGCTTATATAAATTAATGTTGCATAAAATGTTAGGCGTGTCCTGGGCTGTCACCTGCCGCTGCACCCACTGCGCGCCGGTGGCGCTGTCGGGGAATCCGCGCGGGCCGGCCGCCTCGGCTGCACGCATGGCATCCAGGACGGTATCAATGCAGCCGGCCGCGGCCGCGCGCTCGGCCACGCCCGGGTTGCGCAGCATCAGCGACGCCAGCAGCCCCAGCGCCTGCTCTAGAGGGCCTGCATGCAGTTGAATATTAGATAACCATATCAACAATACCAACATCGCATGCTGCACATCCCCATGAGCTACTGATCAGTATACTATTGAGTACACTGACAGCTTCCTTCTCCTGCCTCAGTTGGCAGTTGGGCAGGGGAAAATCCTCTTCAAAGTTGCCTTGCTCCGGATTACCTCTCAGCACTAAACGTTGTGATCCACACGTTTCAAGTCCTCACCCCAAGCACTGTTTTGAAAGAATGAAGAAGCTAGAATATCATAGCTGCAAACAATGCAGGTCGATATGGACAATAAACAGGAGCTGGCCTGAACCACTGACAAAAACTTGAACGTGGGGGTCTGTGCACCAGAGGAGCCGATGTGGGCGACCACGGCCGAGTTGATGAGCTCGAGGCCGTCTCGGTCTACAATGGCGTTCTTGATTGCATCGCTGTTCGCCAGCTGTCGCAGCAGCCCAAAACCGCTGCGTGACACTGCAGCGCTCCCCATGCCCTTCCTCACCGCCTGCAGCAGGGCAGTGCTGTTTTCATTCCAGGATCCATCAAGTCCATATCTTTGAGTTCTGTGTTAGACCAGACCCTGATGTGGCTATCTCATAGCACAAAATTATCAAACTGTGTTGTTGTTGGAGTTATATACAGCTACCAGAAATGCCGTAAGGTTCCGCTGAGGGCGCCTGGTTTAGGGCATGTGTTCAGATCAGGAAGCGGACTTTCTTGCTGGACGTCCAGAAGCATGCAATTGAGCTCTAGCAATCCCCTTCCTTGTCAGGCTCCCTGCCTGCATCCCTGGACGATTGCAGGCGTTCATGTTTTTGAATTTCAACGAGGGCACTATGGCGGCACCTGCATTGTGGCGGCCAGGCCGCCCAGATCGGCAAATTCCGTGCAGATCTCGTCGTTGACTGCAATGCGCCGCATGGCGCCGCACACTGCCGCCACAAGCTCCGGGTGCCCCGCGGCCGCCGCTGTGGAGTTCTCACGCTGCAGAATGCCGAACATTGCCTCCAGCGCGCCCGCGTTGGCTATCGTGCGGCCGTTCTGGAACGCCCTGTCATGCAGAACTCTTGTGCTAAGCTGCCACCAACATACCAGTCCCAATTTGCTCCTCCTTCACATTTGTGGAACCATGTACATGCACGCAAAGTGTGAAAATGAGTATTGCTGCAAGACAGGCTGAAAATAGAGGGAAGACGTCATGTCAGGAAAGCCTTGCGCAAACATGTAACCTGGAATGAATGTCACCTGGAGGTAGATGGACGCAGGTCATCTGCGGTGGCAAAGCTGCGCAGCGCACTGCAAATGGCGGCCAGCGCCGGGGCCGGTAGTGGGGGGCACGGGTCCCCCACGCCACTGCCACCGGCGGGGGTCCCCGGCGTTGCAGTGACGGCTGCGGCGATCAGCCGCGCATGCACTCCGGCGTCCACAAACGCGCATTTATTGCCCTCGTGCTTCGCTGCAGCCGCCTCGATAGCTGCAGCGGCCGCGCCGATCACATCGCCACTGCCCGAATGCTGTCCTGCTGATGCCCAAAGTACCGATCTCAGATTTTTACCGTCACCAAACAAGGCAAATTGTTGTTTGTTTGTGCAGCACACTCCTGAGCGAGCGCACTCCTAGTGAGCCAGAATATTAAATGAAGCAGAGAGCAGTGCCCTTCAGGACGATAAGAGGTGTTGAGGCCAGCGCAGCGTACCTGCCCATCTGTCCAGGGCATCAGCAAGGGTCTCCACGCCATTGGCTGTAGAGAAATCTTCCCGTGCGTCATCGGTGTTTAGCAGGATAGGCAGCACCGAGAGAGCAAGGCACGCTCGGCTGGCAGTCTCCGCCTCCCTGCTCACTGCATGGCTGCGTAGCAACTCCCTGACTGCCCCCGCCTTTATGGCCACTGCAACCACAGAGGAGCCATCCATGTCCGTTGAAGGTCGTGAATCGTATGCAGGGAGGCAGTCGAAAATAAACTTTCTCTTACCACGCAGCAAATAGACAGTGAGATTCACCTGGGACTGCCTCAGCCCGTGCCTCCTTAGTAGCTGACTGCAAAACCTGCAGCAACTCTTGGCAAGCTCCTGCTTCTGCCTCAATCTCGTCCGCTGCACCCGCCGCAGATGTTGCTGCTTGAACAGCTGCTGCCAGCCGCTGCACCGCCAGTGCCACAGGATGGCTGCGCACAGAAGTAGAGGCGCATTTTGTTTTCTGCAAAGAGTCGCATATCACCTATGTCTCGCGGCATGAAGGGCATCGTAGCCACATCAATTACAAGAAAATCTAGATTTTGCACCTGTCTATGTTGCCTCCAGCAGTAGACCTGATGATGCCCGACAAATCAGCCCCCTGCCAGCAGAGGAACATCTCAATGAGGACAACCAACCATGTCTCCTACTGAACAGTGATCCAGCCGAGAACGTCGACAGTAATCTCTGAAGGACCCATACCTGCATCTCAAACTCCTCCACAGCGCTCTTCACTGCCTCATCAGGCTGCAATGCACAAATAATCCCGTACTGATCAGGCCTTGAGACCACCCGCCAAATGGAACTGCCGATGAACGATGCGAACATTTCACACAAACTTACCGTCATATCAAACTCATTAATGTTCTCCTGAACAGCTGCATCGAAGGAATCCTGCAAAGGCCAGCCAAACTTGATCGATCTTGCTAAATAGTTCAGGAGACCAGCGTCAGACAAGTGTGCCCCCTGCCACATTTGCATGAGTGCAAAATACCTGCGTGACATATTTACGTGCCACCATCGAGCCTTTGTAGCCGTCTAATGTTGACAATATCCAGGCTTTGTAAGCCTGAGCAGCTGATTGCAGCTGCTGAGCTGGCTATAAGCAAAATAAAGCAGCGATATCTGATCTGCTGTCCCTGAGGCCACGCAAACCAATGCTTACTTGCAAGAATAGTGATCCAAACCGCTGGATCATCCAAAAATGATCTTCCGAGGAATTGGCAGTTGAAGCTCAACGCACCGTAGGGTTCGTCGATCGAGGGGGCTTTTTGAGGGTGGGCCGCTACAACAACTCAATGCCCAACCCTTCAAAGTGGATCACGAGACGGCACATGCACAGAAAGCGACATTCTTTGAGCACAACGCTTTTTGAAACACACGTTCTCATCATGCAAGGCACCATGATCAACGCAAAGGCATCACCTGCCCTCCGTGCGCCCATGTGCTACAGTGCACAAAAACCTGCATCTAGTGTCTTGCGGGTTGCGTCTGCAGGACACAAGGTACATATGCCATGTTAAATTTGACGCTGAGGAGTTAATCTGTAGTAGCAACGTTGCCGATCTTGTTGGGTGAACGTTTGCTGTGTCTTTTGGTTGATCTGTCTGGAATCTGTGAAGGACAGGATGTCTGAAGGCGGCAGTTGTTCCATTTCCATTGAGTCATCTGTCATGTTTGAGTAGTCATAGGTTTTTCTGAGTTTTTCTGAACATAAGTTGCAAATTGCAATAACGAAAGCAACCTGTCGATTCTGCAGGAGTGTGTCGCCAGCAAGGCAGGTATTAGGAGATCACTTCGATGCACAGCAGTGGCCGAAGTCGCTGCTCCTCCAGAAGTGAACATTGCCAAGGATGTCTCGGAGCTCATAGGTGACCGTCTAATTGCAACACCCTTACCTCTGCTGGATACATTTCACATCTGCTGCTGCTTCACTTCCTCGCCTGTGAAGTCGTGGATATTATGCATGCTGTAATGATGTCTGCATGGCCGAAAATGCAGGCAACACTCCAATGGTTTACCTCAACAAGGTC